TCTCTCTAAAACCCCAAACACAATCAATCCCCATCCGACTGAACCGGAACAAGGGGCCGGCCACAGGGGTTTATATATTCACAACTTTCATACCGTAAAACTATAAATAAGCCATAAATAACGAGAGACCTACTTAAGTTCACTTTTTCTCCGCAACCACAAGGAGTTGCGGGGAGTATTTGGGAGCGTTAGGAAGGTCTCGAGGTCCTGCGTGGCTTGGGCTATGTGGCGTTCCAATTACAGGGTTCCTATGGGGGGTCAGGATGCGAAAAAAAACTAAAATCATACCGCTTACATATTGAAGCAACAGTACATGGTTGCAGGTTTATTTAGGGTGCTACGGAAACCTATCACAGTGTGAATTACTTTCAAATATTGGGTCATATGTTAAAGTTTCCAGGATAGACCCAAGTGCCAGTGATTTTTAACCAAATTCAAATACTGAAGAACCAGAATGTAGATTTAAAGAAAATGAAGAGGGTTCTCAACACCATGATTCTAATCGTGATTTAATGACAGAGATCACAGGTACCATTTAATGCTGATATAGGTAAATCTGTTGCAAACTTATTGCCTGACGCAAATTTGCTGAATATTTTTATATCTTATAACCTTAGGAGTTTAATGCCTATGTTAAAAGTACAGAAAATTAGTGGGATGCAACTCAGTACAAATCTTTTATTAGATCCTTTGACAGTATTAAGAGTAATAGACTAACAGATGATGAAAAGCTATTTTATCTTAGAACAAAATATCTGGTAAACCAAGGGACACAGGGCTTGTGCTCACATGGAACCAGGTGAAGGATATAAGGAAGCTGGGTATCTATTACACAGGAAATCTGGTGACCAAGAACTTATAGCAACTGCTTATGTGGATAAAATCTTGGAGTGGCCAAGGTTGAGGGATGATGACGTGGAAGAGGGTGATCAGTTCTACATCACTTATAGGGTGTCGTAATGCTTTGTGTGGAGGCCTTCAAGGAGCTAAGGAAATCGAGCACCCCGGGATTATGAGGAAAATTGTGGAGCAGCTACCATTAACCATGCAGGAGAAGTGGTGTGCCGTATATTTAATATTGGAATATGGAGGCAGAACTTCTCCATTTAATGATTTAGTAGATTTCATATATAAGGAGGTTGATATAATGTCTCATCCCTTATTTGGAAGGCATCTATTTAGTACTCAGGGTATGCAAAGGGAAGGTAAATCATGGAAGAATGACGATTAGTTTAAGATTAGGGACCAAAAAATGACGACAAGTTCAAGCCAATTAGGGACCAAGCTAAAGCACGAATTTGACAAGGTATTTTGTAATAAGGTCACAGAAAATACAAAGCAAGGACCAAAATGCTGGTTTAGTAGTGTGCCACATAATTTGGATGAATGTAAACAGAAGAGCCAAAGACCAGAAAAGGAAAGATTGGAATTTATATCAAAGATTGAAATTTATATCAAAGAAAGGGTTATGTTTTCGATGTCTTAATAAAGGGCACTTGTCTAAAGAATGTATCAAGAAAAGGATTTGTCGAATATGCAAGGTTAGACATCCCGCAGTCCTCCATAGGCAGTCTTCTCTAAGGGGTGAATTTAAACGGGGCATAAATGACAATAAGAAACCAGGTGACTTTATAGAGAATAATGATCAGAAAAGGGATAATATTGATGATGTAACCTGTATAGCATCAGTGGATAGTGAAAAGGATTGACATAATTTGGTGAAGGTCAATGCCAAAAGAGTAAATAAGATTGGAAGGTCTAAAAAAGAAGCTTTTATGTGACGAGGTATTTTATAAGGATTATTACGCTTTCATGACAGATGTAATAGAAAAAAGGTTATTCAGAGCGAGCGCCACAGACAAAGGACAATGAAGATAGCTGTTTGGTATATTCCTCCTCATGGTGTGTACCATCATCAGAAAACAGACCAGTTACGTGTTCACTGGGCAGCCAAGTATAAAAATGAATCCCACAACAGTTCCCTTCTTCAAGGCCCTGCTTTGACCAAACCCATTTTAAGCAGGGAAAGTTCTTGTCTAAAATCTCAAGACTTTATCTTGCTACCTCAAGAATTTCGCTTGCTTTCTCAAGCGACCCCCGTAAATGGCTAGACTTGCGTGGAAGTCAAGCGGTGGACCGTCGCCATGGCAACAGCGTCGTTCGCGTACCGTACTGTTTACAATCCTTCGAATGCGGGCGTTGGCCAAGAACTCCGCATAATATTTTATCATAGAAATATTTTTTTCACGGTATCTGATTCTGTAATTTCCATAAAATCATATTCGAAGAAATTGAAATTAACAGAAAACGAAAGGAAATAATGGAGAATATGGGAATAAAAAGTGTTGTACTTATAAATGATATATTGTAAGACGAACAATTTACCTCTTACTTTTAAACTCTTCGTCTCTCAAAATCGAGAATAAATCTGCTATTCTATGAAATTAAGAATAATTCAAGTGAAAAAAAGTCTGAGAAATTCTAGCAACATTCTTCTGTTGATATTGTAATCGATGACATACATTTAACTTCATAAAATCGGATATATGGGAATGGGTAGGCCTATATTTTAATCCAGGGATGTTCATTTGATTTGATAACGCGTCAGAGTGCAAGGGTTGTCCATCAAAAGTGTGTGTCACTGTTTTGGAGGCGCTTCATATGAATATATAAAAACATTCCCAACACAATACAATACCATAGTACTCTATGACCTTTGATGTCTAGCACATTTATTTTCTTGTCATTATTACTTACTTCACATGAATATAGGAGAAAATATTGCAATTTGTTAAGATATTCGGATAGATCTATTTACTTCTCTGCTCTCTTGATGCGATGTTACCTTGTCAGTTGTTTTGAAATGCGCGCTCAAACTGTTGCCAACAGCCAATGAAATAAACTCCACCCTCGACTTATGCCCAAGGTATCTCTCTCCTAGATTGTTGGTGTGAATACTTGTCTATTGCTTTTAAAACCCAAGCATGTGTATGTTGTGTGTTATTTTGACATTCTATGCTCTCCAAGGACTATTACGTTTAAAGCAAGGAACGCTACAGTTCTTGACACATAGGCAGGGATTCTTACCCAAGCGCTCACCTGCTTAAAACGCTTATAGTTTCAAGACTTGGTTGCTAAATTTCAAGACAAGATAACAGATGATTAATGAAAAATATATTTTTTTTCAGGTTTAAAGACATAGTTTCAAGACTGGCTCCAGTTTCAAGTCTGGCTACAGGGTGTGGCAAGATGTACATCGAGAACAGCATCAAGACCAAATTTCAAGATTGGGCTTCATTGTACGAGTGTTAGGAACCTCAAAGAAATTTCAAGATATGCTTGATCTTCAAGACTTCTTCAGTATCAAGACTAAGAAGAGTTGGCACTAGTTACACGTTTCTCAAGGCTGGGTAATGCTACATGCTAGGCTTAGTTCTGGTTAATATTTTTTTGAGATCAAGTTCATTAATTACAATATGATGAAGAGTAAAACATTACTATTATGAAATAAGTGCTGACAAGGAAGTAGGAACCATTTGTTTTGCATACTTTTGATGGTATTGATGTAATATGTCTGACATTATGGCAAAATCTATTGACTTCAAGAGGGTTGTAGAGAAAGAGGATAAATATGGAAGATGAATCAAATTGGAAGGAAATGTTAAATACTGGGCCTGACGACAGTGTATCCAGGGTGTCTTATAGGTCACAGGTAAAAGATTCTTGTGCTATGAGTATATTAAAAGAAGTGAATCAGGCTAAGGTCCTGATTTGACCAACCCATTAGTCCAGATATTATTTAGGTTCCATCAAGGTCATTTTGCATTCAAGTTGGTGTTCCAGAAAAGGATGGGGATTATTTAAGTTTTTTTTGTGGTGGCCAGATGGAAATATCAAACAGGCTGTAAGTGAATATCGCATGGCTGTTCCCCCATTTGCAGCAAAGTCTTGTCCTAGTTCTAATTTTGCTCCACAGAGAACAGCAAAGGATTTTGAAGTGAATATTTGCCAGAAGTTCAAAAGACCATATTTAGCAATTTTTATGTTGGTGATTGTCTGAAGTCAATGGATATGGAAGATGAATCCAATTTTTAGTAATGAATTGTTGCATGTAGGTGGCAGGCTTACAAAGGCTCCATTAAGACATGATAACAAGCATCCATTTATTTTGCCAAGTAAACACCATGTTACAGATATGATCATCAGAGATTGTCATGAGAGAGTTGGTCACCAAGAGCGTGAACATGTCTTGAGTTCACTTAGAGCAGTGTTGTCCAAACATTTTCGCCTATTGTACCCTTTATTACCTTCTTGTGCTGTTACGTATCCATGGCTAAACAACGTTTTATTTAGGACAGTGCAAATAATATACTAATTATGAAAAGATGGAATTGCAGGAGTGTTGGTCAATAAATTCGAATTTAAGACACGAATAAAAAAGATGATTCATAGAACATATGATGTCTCTCTCTCTCTCTCTCTCTCTCTCTCTCTCTCTCTCTCTCTCTCTCTCTCTCTCTCTGTGTGTGTGTGTGTGTGTTCGTGTTGTGTTCGTGTTCGTTCCTTGTTTGTTCACGTACCCTTAAGATCTATGTTGTGCACCCCAGTTTGGACAACACAGACTTAGAGAACTTTATTGGATAGTTAAGGGTAATAGTGCTGTGCGTAGGGTTATCAAAGGTTGTATTAAGTGTCGCAAGTACCAGCAACAGATGGGAGATCTTCCAGAAGGTAGGATCTCTGCCAACCAACCACCTTTCACTACAACTGGTGTAGATTTGTTTGGTCCATTCTATACTAGGAAGGCAAGCTCTCAGGTGAAGAATTATGGTGTAATATTTACATGCTTAACTATAAGAGCAGTACACGTAGACATTGCAGGATCATTGTCCACAGACTCATTTATTAATGCTCTAAGAATATTCATAGCTAGACGAGGGCAAGTGAAATCTTTGTATCGTGATAGGGGCCTTAACTTTGTTGGAGAAGATAGAGAATTAAAGGAAGGTATGAGGGAATGGAATGAGTCTCGTATTAGTTGAGACCCTTTTGTTGAATAATATAGAATGGAATTTTAATCTGCCTCATGCATCTCATTTTTGGTGGTGGTTGGGAAAGACAAATCAGAACCATTAGGAAAGATTTAAATGGAGTTATGAAAGAGCAAGTTTTGCATGATGAGGGTTTAAATACCATGATGGGCGATGTTGAAGCTGTTATTAATAATAGACCTCTATCTACTGTTTCAAGTGACTGCCATGATTTAAGCCCCATAACACCTATCTCCTTACATTGAAAGAAGATCCATTGTGTGTTAAGAATTGGACGCAAATGAAGTGTACAGTAAGCGAAGATGGCGTCATATTCAGTACATGGCTGACTTATTCTGGAAGATGTGGAATCAGGAGTACTTGCTAACTCAACGGGAAGGACAAAAGTGGTTTGTGAAAGGCAGAAATTTAACTGTAGGAGATATTGTTATGTTGGTTGAAGGAAATTCCCCCAGGTGTCATTGGCTAAAAGGTCTGTGTCATTTCTGTTAAGCAGAGTGGTGATGGGTTAGTAAGAAGTGTAACTGTCAAGTGTGGAAAATCGTTTATGACTCGACCTATATCGAAGTTGATTCTCTTGTGTGAAAATGATAGTAATTGA